AGAACAAGACGACGTCCAACGAGAACTTGCACGTTGCACGAATTCTTGGGGAAACGGATAGATTACGAGACGAGAGGTAAGTAGTAATTACGACCTCGCCTCCTCGTCTTCTCTCGCGCCTCGTTTCTCGTTCCGTGTCTCTTTCGCGTAATAAAGTTAATTTAACAATCTTAATAACGAGAATAACGACGTTTCCTATCAAAGAGGGGACGGTTGAACGAAACCTCGTCCTCGATTTTTGTTCAAACTCCACGTAACCATATTCCTCTGTAACGTCGGTATAAAGAAAAAAGTTAGAGAGAGAAGAGCAAAGAGCGACTGTAAGAAGTTCGAACGGAAAGAAAAGGTTGGGCGATGTATCGTTTCATAAATCAAACTACAAAGGCGAAACGTGCGTGCAACGAGGGGCAGAGAGGAAGGAAGAAAGAAAGAGTGTCGTGAGAAGAGAGAAAAGAGCGAGGCGCGTATCACGGGGCCCCATTAAATGCATCCTACTTTTCGAACTTAATTCCATTCGAGTCGACCGCTTAATTGTACGGTCACGTTCTCGGACGTGCGGCAGGGTCGTAACGTCGGCCGATCCCTGGCGGTCCAGGATTATATAGGTAGGAACGCCGCGCGCAGACAGGAAATCCCCCCTCGCGTGGCACGAGTGCAGTCCGCCGCGCATTAGGCGGACAATCGGCCAGAAGGGGCTAATCCGACCGAGGCATTTCCATCCGCCGTTACGGAACCCGACCTTCGCATTCCAAACACTCCTCCCATCCTCCTCTCCTCTCCTCTTTTCCTCCAACTTTGTCGCCAACTATCCATATCCCTCCTTGAGGATCTGTGTACGCGATTCCTCCTCCTCTGATCGATCAATCAATCGACTCGAGAAAAATTCAGCAACTGGAGCAAAATTTAACGATTCCTGATCGTTTCGCCTATCTACTTAACTTCGTGATTCGTAGTTCGTGTATTTCTCGGATCAGAGGAGGAGGGATGTATTCTCGAATCAATCAAAAGAGAATTCACACCCTTTCAACGCGACTTTCTATTTCCCTTGGCTCCCTTGGCTTGGTTTTACCGCTATACCGATTTGCACACGTTGATTGAACGTGGATTGATCGAACGATGCGATCCGTTTTCTCTCATCCCCAGTGGTGATGGTCGCTCGCTAAGATTCGTGGAGAAGGGAAGCGCGAATTGTGCAATTGCAACGTTAATGTCCACGCTCCCTGAAATCGGTCTTTCTCTCTTTCTCTCTGTCTCGAGGCTTCGCGACGAATCGACCGCGTGGTTATTGCTCTATCGCGTATTCCATTTCGCGGCTGGGCCGTGTTGGAACTGCGTCGCGCCGCACGCAGTTATGCATTCGGAACGCATTAACGCGCCCCTGTAGACATTTTCATTCCGGTTGTGCGAGATGGTTGTTTCTCTCTCTCTCTCTCTCTCTCTCAATGACGAGGATGACGACGATGAAACCGTGAAGTGCGCAAGATAATGTATAGGCGTATAGGTTGGTTCAAAGGCAAACCAGCAGCGAATCTCGCCACTTCGAAACACACTGTTCTTTGCTCTTTCCGTCCCCTTCTTTCCTCTCTCTCTCTCTCTCTTTCACCGTGTTTTTCCCGCCCTCCTCTCCCGCTTCTCTCTCGATGCTGGCCCCCCTCCGCGTCTGTCCGTCCGCCTGTCCGTCTCTCTCGCTTAAAGCCGTGTACACACATTGCACCGTGTACACGCGGTGTGTGCACGGGACTCTAAAAAAGGCGGCCGGGGCCATTCGATGGCAGCTGTTCCACATTTGAAGGATGGATATTCTTCGGGCTTTGTCGTCGCGACAAAAGACCCTCTTTCACAAAAGGCCGAGCCGAGCCGAGCTTTCCGCGCGAGTCTCTTTCTTTCTTTCTCCGTCTCTCTGAGAGCGTGGCACAAGCATTCAGGGGTTCTAAGTTCCATATGCACCACGGCGGAGGGACAACCACCGCCACCACCGCCACCTCTCTCTCGTCTCTTCTCTCCTCTTCTCTTTCTTCTCTGACCCCCGATCTTCTCTCTCTTTCCCTCCCTCGAGAGAGAGGGGGAGAGAGAGAGAGAGAGAGAGAGTGTCACAGCTTACGAAAGCAACCTCGCCTCTGGTAATTAGACGCCGCTGTTACCGTGTCATCCCTCCTTTTCGTGGAAAAGGAAAAAAAGGGGCGGGGGGGGGGGAGAGGAGGAGGGGAAAAAACTGATAATCCGATTCGAACCTTCCTCCTCCTCCTCCTCCTCTTCTCTCCGCTCGCGTCGCGAGTTAATGATAATTCCGTTCGACGCGGCCGGGGAGAGTTTAGATCGTTAGCGAAAGTATTTTTCCACGAGGAAACGAGGTTTCTAGGCCATCTTGCTTCGCTCTTGATCGCGCTCTTCCCTTCTCCGTCGTCCTTTCGCCGATCCATCGATCTTCGTACTTTGCAACCCCTCTCTCGAGAAGAGCGCGTCGGATTTTCTCCTTCTCTTCTTCTTTTCACGCGATTGTATTCGATCCCCGTGAAACCGTAGAGGAAGAAGCAACGACGAGAGGAAACGACCCCTTCGAAAATCGGGGCGTTGAAGCATCGGCTCGATCGGGTGGTACCGGTAACCCTAACTAGTTTCCTTTTGATTCGAACGGAAACTGTCCCCGTCCGTTTGGGAACGAGTATTCCTCCCAGAGAGAGAGAGAGAACGAACTTGCTCCTCGACGAACAGTCTGTTCTGTGGTGACTAATGAATTTGCTACGAGCTCTTCTTGCTCGACGACCCCGTTTGACCTTACCAGCTTTGAAGTTACGCGCGTATATACGAATCCAACAGCGTGCCACGCAACCGGCTCTCCCTCTCGTCTCTCTCTCCCTCTCTCTCTTTCTCTCTGTCTCGTCGTGACTCACTCAATGATTAAGTCCGTCAGCCGGCCCATGATTTCGCCCATGATGGAATTTCGTCGACCGATTTAACCCTCCGATTAAACTCTTTAC